AAGAGTCAGAATCAATATAGATGTTTTTATTTTAAAGAAAATTCAGATTGAACATGGTAAAAAAAAAGTATTGTGTCTGTCCATTACTTATAGTGAAAACAAATTTTGGATGATGGGTTAGTAGACTAAAAGCTTTAGGAATCCAAAGTACAACATATGATAAGTACCCTGAATCAAGATTGATGCAAAACAAGTGAAATGTTACCTTTTTAGACAGATTTAGCAACAAAAAAAACACTTCTGGGGCCATTTGGGTGGATTTTCCATATCTCTGGTCCCCCTTGCTCGATTTTGATGATTGACATCTTTTTCTAACCGTCAGAGCCAATGGAATCGATGGAAGGTTCCACATACACACACAGGTTACCAAATAAGGAGTGAGAGTGACGCGTAGCCAAAACCGGAAGCGGCGATAATTAATAATAATAATACATTCTCAGATTTTTACATAAAAATTGAATTATGGATTATCAATACTTTTTTCAAAGTGACAGACACATTGGATTAACCTATGGATTAACCTTCAGCCGCGTTGTTCTCGTTTTATTGCCATTGAACACGACTTTTGATCAGAACAACAGCTAAGGTGAGCATATCTCCGTGTTTTGCTACCTAAAGCTACGTCGTGTGTTGTCTGTATTTGCTTCCCCTGTCGTGAGTTCAGATCGCTCAGTGGTGACACTTATATTTCTATAATCTTTGGAATCTCAGGATGTTAGCTAAGCTTGTTTGTGCCGATCCGATAAGTATATCGATCGATTTATACCTAGAGTTGTGTGCCAAGTGCGTTAGCATGTTTTCGCTCAGGGCTCATTTAGACTCTTCTTGTGAGACTTGTGTTTTGTTTCGGTAAAAATTGTTCATATCATCAGTTAGCTGAGTTTCTTCCCGTTAGGAGGGTATGCAGGGTTCCCGCGGGGCTTAACAAGTCTTAAATGTGATCATCTGGATTTAAGGCCTTAAAAAGTCTTAAATATGACCAAAACAATAAGAAAGGTCTTAAAAATGATGGGATTTGAAAGGTGCTTCTGTGCTGCGATCACGTCTAAATGTGTTTTGGAGGAAATGTCCGGGCTGCAAAGTAACCAGTACGGTAAGAGCCTTTCAGTTCCCCCCAACAATCTGTATTGAAATAAATCAACATGGAACCAGTAATCACTAACTTTGTTTCCCCCTGCCCCTTATCGGAGAACACCCAGCTCGTAACCTAGCAACCAAGCTTCAGCTAGCGGCAGTCAGAAACTCATGTCTCATCGAATCTACTTACAAATAAATATGGGGAAGTGTCAGTTCAACCGTATTTGGTTGGAAAACATCGAATTTAGTGCTTGGTTGAAACCAGTGGAGGGAACGTGTTTGAAGCCCGCTGCACCTTTTGCACTAACAAATAGCGTTTGTTTTGCTAATGGAGCGTTAGCTAGTGCAGCAGCTCCCGCAACAACACCGGGGGACCTCCGGGCGACGTTTGAGTCTACGTCAACCCTAAAAGCGGAGGTGCTGTAGACGCTAAATACCAATCA